GGCGGCCGCCAGCAGCGCTGGCGACGCGGCGGCGGCGCCCGGGTCGGCCGCGCGCCGCGCGGCGGCCGCGCCGCACGAGCACTCCAGCTCGAACAGGGTCTCTACCAGGCCGTGGTAGAGCGCGCGCACGCGCCCCGCATGCTCCGGCGTCAGCAGGTTGTCGATGCCCAGCTGCATGACGAAGCCCACATCGTCGTGCGTGGGCGCATCGGCGGCGTCGAACGCGGCGTGCGGCGCGCCGCGTGCCTCGCCGCCCAGCCCCGCGCCGGAGACGGCGGCCAGGACCGCGGCGCGGTCGCCGCGGCGCCGCTCCGCCGCCTCGCGCACCTCCGCCACCATGCCCTTGGTGTTCAGCGCCTTCTTCTCGCCCTGCTTGAAGTAGAAGGAGCGGTGGTCCAGCGACTTGTAGAAGTTGTCGCGGAAGATGGCCGACCAGACGGGCATGAGCCCGGCGCGCGCCTCGCGCCACTCGCCGTCCTTCTGCACCAGGCGCGCCAGGATGACGGGCACCGCCACGCCCGGGTTCTGGCCCAGCAGGGACAGCATGGCGCCGCCCTGGTCGCCGTAGATGCGCTGGATGGCGCGGTAGTGGAAGGAGCGCAGCGCGCGGGGGGGGAGCGTGTACGCCGCGCGCTCTTCCTCGCTCAGGCCCTCCAGCTCCAGCGCCACCGGCTATATTTGGTGGGGGGGGGGAGGGGGGGGAGGGAGTTGGGAGGAGATAGCGAGGGATTTTTCCACGAGGGGGTTCAGGGGCCATGCATTGGGTTGGGTAACGTGGGCAGGAGGGAAGAAGGGAGGGTGGGTGTGCGCGGGCAAGCATCTCCAGCGCGGAACAGCATCTGGAGGAGAAGAGGCGTGGCATCCCGGGCCCCTGCCCCAAAGGAAGAAACTATTGGCAGCCAGCGTGGCTGGGACCCCTCCCTCAACGCTCCCTACCCAGCAGCCTGCACTCCCCCTCCCGATCTCCTTTTCCCCCTTCAGACCACTCCCCCTCCCAAACCCCCGGACCCCACCCAGCGACCCACCCATCACACCTCAAGCGCCTTGATGGTGGACGAGTTCTGGCTCATCACCATGTCCAGCTCGAAGTGGTCGTCCTCGGCGCGGAACAGCGCCTCCTCATACTGGTTCTTGCGGTAGTGCTTGAAGGAGTAGTCCTCCGACCCACTCGTCACCGACACCCAGCCGTCGTTGAGCAGAGCCTGCCCCGCCGTGTCGCGCCCCGTGGCCGCCAGGCGCGGGTAGTTCACCGGCAGCGCCACGTAGGACGGCGTGCACCGCTCCCAGGTGCTCACGTCCAGCTCGCTGATGGACATGCGGATATACTTCTCCACCGTGCTCGTGTGCTACGAGAGGAATGGTGGGTGGTTGGGGGTGGGGGGAGTGGATCTAGGACTGGGCAGGGGTGAAGGAGCGGAGGGGAGTCAGGCGAGGGATTTGCCCGGGGTGTCGCCGCCTCTCACTCTTGCGCCATCCACACTACCTCCATCCACCCACCCACAAGCCCTGCCCCAGCTCGCCGGGCCCCAACCCCCAGGTTCCCCAGACACAAAAGAAGGTTGGAATTTTAACCCCCTCAAAGAACAACAGACTCACCCTGGAGCGCTCGCCGCGGGCGTAGGTGCGCGAGTAGGGGTCCTCTGGCCCCAGCTCGCAGCGCATGAGGAACTCGTTGAACCCGGCCAGCAGGTCTGAGTGCTTGCCGATGATGTCATGCACCAGGCTGACCAGCTCGGCCTTGGAGATGACATCCTCGGCAAACAGGTTCAGGCACTTGAGGAAGTCGGCGTAGCCGTCGCGAGAGCGCAGGCGGCTGTGCACGCGCTCGAAGAAAGCCAGCTCGCGCTGAACCTTGGGGTCATCTGAGCGGCGGTGGGTTGGGGGGGAGAGAATGGTCAGGGAAAGAGGCGGGAACAGGACGACGCCGTGCTTGGCCTCAACAGTGGTGGTGTATCTGTGGAAACCAGGGGATGCACGGCCAACGGCTTCACACACAGCGCCGCACCCAGCAATCTCCCACTGCATCGAGGTGCTCCCGCCCTTTGAGGCCCGGGCCCCACCGCATGCCCGCCCATGACCCACCCTTGCGCAGCGCGGGCGGGGCCTTGCGCTGGTGCTTGGCGGGGCCGGAGGCCCCGGCGCCATACCCCGTGACCTTTTTCCCGAAGACGGCCGGGCGACGCTGGCCGGGCGCCTGCAGGGTTGTTGGCAGAGGGTCGATGGTCGGTATTCAGGGATTCACACGCCCTCGCGCGCGTATGTGATACTTCCACCGCGGGAAACATCTCGGGCTGCACGGCTGCCCGATCACCGTGCATGTCAGGTCTCACCAGGCACTGGCCCCCTCGTTCCACCCCCAGGTCCTCACCGGCGGGGTGTTGTCGGGCAGGAAGTAGGTGAACTCCCTCAGCAGGTCGTCGTGGTTGCGGAAGAGCAGCGCCACCTGGGGAGAGCAAAGGTTGGGAGGGTACTGCTTTGACAGCGCTCCCGTGCTCCGCACGGCAGGTTCCTCATGCAGAAGGAGGCCCTCACACGCCCCTGGCGTCCCTGCACCCACCGCACCCGCCCAAACACCAGCCTCCCCTAAAGGATTCACACTTGGCTCCCACAACCAGGTCAAGCTCCCAATGCACACACTCCCAACACACACACACACCTCCTCATACACGCTGCCGATGGACTTCTGGCCCTTGCGGTACATGTTGAGGATCTCCAGGAAGGCCTTGTACACCCGCTCGTCCGTGGAGAAGCGCTGCTTGATCTTGTTGACGTAGCTGATGGCCTGGTCAAACTCGACAGGGGCCTTGGGCTGCGAGGAGGCGGGCAGCCAGGGTCAATGGAGCGCCAGGGCCGGGTGTTGGGGGAGGCATGCGAGCATGCGCAGGGTGGTGGCCCACTGCGCCATCCGCGAAAATAGCGGCATGTGCACATGCGGGACCTCGATCTCAGGCAGCCTCCATGCAGGCCTGCACCTCACCTCGCGGTCTGTGCGCTGGGCCGGAGCCTGGGGGGCGGCCCGGGCAGGTTCGGCCCACTGCTTGGCGGGGATCGGGTCGTCATCCAGTCTGATCTCGTACCCCTACATGACAAGGACAGTGTCACGGCAGGACTTTAGAGGAGGAGCACTGTGCTTTCCCTGCGTGGGTGCAGGATACACGCAAGATTTACCGCCAAGTGCAACAGGGTGCGCTCAATCCACCAGCTGCACACTTTGGGGAGGAAGGTGTTGAAGCCCAGAATGAGCTCAGAGTGGCCTTTAAACAGTTCTTTGACCTTCAGGATGACGCCTGCCGTGTCAATTCTGTGAGAATTCATTGGGGATGGGGCAGGCATGATTGGCCTGACTGAGGGTCCGCCACCTACCGCCCATGTGATCCCCCGGCGCGATCCGGCGCGAACGCGTGAACCGAAACACATGGGGCTATGTCGCCAATCCCCACAACAACCGGCCGGGACAGGCCAGGAACCGACTCATGCCGGGAAACCCCGCCTCACCTCTGCGCCTTGAACTGCTTCATGATCTCCAGGAAACTGCGATCGGGGCGGGGGGGGGGCGGCGGTGAGGGTAGATGCACTCGTTGACGGGCCGCAAAAGCAGGCACTACAGGGGAAGGGCCGACAACGCAAACACCCGATCACGAGGCTGCATGCTCCGCATTTTCACCTGTCATACACCCTGCGATTGTTTGAGAACCGGTTCTTGACCTCCCGGAGGTAGGACAGTGCCTGCGCGATATGGCAGGGGGGGGAGGTATGCGAAGTAGTTCTCGACCAGCTCCAAGGGGGCTTGCGAGCCACCGCATCCCCCGGAGGACACACTGGAGTCATGAACACACGAATGTGGGGCGAAACCTCGGTCCGCTTACATCGTGCGTGGTGAGACGCTCCCGCCTCTCCTCGCTCGACACATCCCTGGACCAGGAGGAAGGATCCCAGGTTTCGGGACTCATAGGTATACAGCCTTGTTATCACTTGTACATAAAGGAAATAGCGTCCTCATTGCGACCCCCGCCGGCAAGTCGCGGACGAAGACATGCTCTGCCATGAGGCAACAGCCAGGTCTTCCCCTATCCCCCTCCGGCCATCCACCTCACCCGGCAGCTTTTTTCCCGGAAGGACCAGGATCGCTATCCTCCCTTCCACGTTTCATTGCTGGTCCGTGCTGGAGTCCTTCGCTCCGCGCTTTGACCCTCGCTCTGCAGCAGCGGGCCACGACACACCAGGGCGGTCGCGAGGGAACAAAGCCCACGTCGAGGCTGTCCGGCACTCCCGCAGAGAACAAAATAAGGGGATCGGAGCTGGCAGGAGGAGTGGGACTGGCAGGGTGATGGGCGCTGTGCGCGAGCATCGAGACGAGGAGGGCGCGCACATTGTTCGTCCCGGGACAATCTTAAACAACAAATGCTGTTCATCCAGAGGGGTGGTTGCAAGCACTTGCCAGCTGGCTCTGCAAAGCGGGTGCAGGCTTGCATACGCGACTCCGAGGATGCAGTGTCCAGTTTGTCTCGTGTGAAATGATTGTGGGAAATGGTAGGTAACATCCAGGCAAGAATCGCCACAGTCCCACCTTTTTGCAAAAAAATCATCTGGCACATCCAGTGATCCTTACTGCAGGACTACCCTCCGTATTCGCAAAGCTTGCGTCAAATTCTTGCCTGAATTAGTCTTCCGGATCACACCAGAAAGAGTTCTGCTTCAAGAGGACGTCCAAGAGGAGTAGTGCCTCTGCGATTAATGCCATTACAGCACAGACTGTATCCTGGATCCAATCTTAGGATGACAAGGTTTGCAGCAGCTGACAGCAGTGATTATTACTGTAATCAGAAGTTCTGAGCATCTCACTGAATCACAATGTACCCATACAGTAGTCGGGAGTTAGTGCAGCATGGTGCAGGGGAGAACTCCAGGAACAGAGCATGCAAACAGTTGGAACACATCCTTGAACTCAACGTTCCAAGCAGCTGTGATGTATGCAGAATGGGTGGCTGATGATATCTGGGGAGTTTTCGTTCTTCAAGCCATCTCTTGGTGGGGCAGCTCTGAAACTGTGCCTGGGGAAACTCGAATGTGCGCGGGGTCGAATGCACCCTGCCCTGGCCTCGCTCATGCGGGAGCTCGATGCCCTGCACAGTACGCCAGTCGCCCCTCCCACCCAACCCCCTCCCTCTTGGCCTGGAGCCTCGCCCTCTTACACACACCTTCGCCTGGGTGTGCTTTTCACCCAGATCAAGACCCTGCGACTGCGAGATCTCCAGGGGCCTGCCTCGTGCCTGGGCTGACCCGCCCCTCGTCCCCTGCCTGTGCGCGCACGGGATGCCCGCCTAGCCTCCCCCCCGATCTTCCGCTTGATCCACCTCCTCGCTCTGCTTCCGCCGCCTGTCCGCGGCGTGTGAGGCCTCACCATGGCGGAGTTCGTGGAGATGGAGGAGATCGATGCCGTGCGGATGGTGTGGAACGTGTGGCCGCACAGCCGGCTGGAGGCTGCCAAGTGCGTCATTCCCTTTGGCGTGATGTACACCCCTGCCAAGGCGACTCGAGGCCTGCAGGTGCGGCGCCTGGGGCGTATGGTGTGGGTTTGGGGGCAGGTGCTGGCGCCGTGACACCTGGCACTCGTGCCCTGGGTCCCCGAGGGGAATCCTGAGACGTGCCAGGCCTCTGGAGGCATGCCTGGGCAGCAGTGCACTGTCTGGGTTGGGGAGCTGCCGGTCGGGGGCCCTGTTTCGGTGGCTCTCGAGCACAGCCATGGGATGGCAGGCAGTGCTGCCGGCGCGGGGATGCAGGGACGCTGCGTCGTGGTCAGGCTTTCAACTCCCCGCCACACCCCGACTGGCTGCTCATCCCACCCACACCCACACCCCAACCCCTCCCACACAGGCCATCGAGTACGACCCGGTGCAGTGCCGGGGGTGCGGCGCGGTGCTCAACCCCTATGCGGCGGTGGACTTTGCCAGCCGGCAGTGGGGCTGCCCCTTCTGCCTGACGCGCAGCCCCTTCCCGCCCCACTACGCTGGCATCTCCGAGACGGTGCTGCCCGCGGAGCTCTTCCCCAGTGCCACCACCGTGGAGTATGCCACGGCGCGCCACGCCCCCCCCACGCCGCCCACCTACCTGATCCTGCTGGACACCTCGGTGCCCGAGGACGAGCTGGCGGCGGCCAAGTCGGCGCTGCAGCAGGCGCTGTCCCTCATCCCCGACCACGCCCAGGTGGGGCTCATCACCTTTGGCACCCACGTGCACGTGCACGAGCTGGGCCACGCCGAGTGCCCAAAGGTCTACGTCTTCCGCGGCTCCAAGGAGCACGCGGCGGGGGCGGTGGCCGCGCAGCTGGGCGCCGGCTCGCCGGGCCCCCGCGCCGCCGGCGGCGCGGGGCCCGGCGCCCCCGGCGCGCCGCCGTCGCCCTCCAAGGCCGGGGCCTGGGCGGGTGCCCCCGCCGCGCTGGCCTCGCGCTTCCTGCTCCCCGCCGCCGACGGCGTAATAAATTCGGATAGCATACA